AGCCCTTTAGGGGAGACGAGAACCAGACGTCTTTAAATAAGTACCGGTGGGTTACCTTCCATTCTGTGATCGTTACCTTCCATTCTGTGATCGTTACCTTCCATTCTGTGATCGTTGTCCTATCTGCGACGTTAAATAATTCCTGAGGACCTTGGGGGTTGTCCTTAAACTGCCTCTTGATCAGCCAATTGGTCGGTGTAAGGCTCGCTGCACGCGAGGGTAAATATGGTGCAGGGCTGGCCAACTCAGCATTGACTTGGGGCACAGGGGTGGGCCGTCCACACCTTTAGACACGCACGCTAGCTAGATTGCTCAGGAACGCTGACGTCAAGTGGCATCAAGAAGAACTGAGGGAGGGGTGGATTTCAGGTGATAAGTTCGTGTACAATTCCACTCTGCAAACAGCCACACAAATGATTCTATTTTTATTTCGATTAGGTAGATGTTACTGCCATTAACTCATCTGACAGACAACATAGGTAGAACAATCTTTTTATCCGCAATTGCTTTCTATTTGCGAAGTTGTCAAGTAAAATAGTTTCGTTTGTAGGAATCTGGACTTACATATTGAACCCAATTGTGTATCATCTGAAAATGCCACCGATTAATTATTTTTATTATTTTATATCGGTCTGACCACTACGTTGCGGCAGGCAACAGAGTGTGTCCTAGTGCAGATTGTGTATAATGTTGTAGCATATGAGTGTCAGAGAGTACACTGATCCGGACAATAATCCCGTTGGTTCACGTAGCTTTAGGAGCCGAGGGGGATCGTCTTCTGTTCCGTGAAGCTAGGGAAAGGCAGCGTCAGCAGAGGGTTGAGAGAAGCAGTTGCCTCAGCGGCCGCAATGGCCCCTTTTGCACAACAGGGCTCTTAAGTGAGTAGTTCAGGGACGCACACGAGTTCCCACGCTAGTGGTTCAGGGACCATTGGGGTTATGAGCATGCAGACCCAGAGTCAGTTCGCTGGTGTGATGGATAGCCAGCAGTTAGTGTTAACCCCTGAAGAGGTCGCCATACAGCGAGCAAGCGCTCGCGAAGCACAGCTACAACAGGCATTAGATGAGATATAAGAAGAGAAGGAGAGAATGATTAGATGTAGAACTAGGATGCAGCGGAGAGAAGCGGACATGCGAGAGTTAGAGGAGATGGATCTAACACATATGGATGATGATGTAAGAACCGTTAGGACGGCCCTACTAAATGTGGTAGAGATGCAGGACTACCATATGGCTCTCTTGCAAGACATTTAGAGATGCCTGGCCGTGCTGGTTGGGCGAGTTCAGGTCTCACCTTCACCATCCAGGCCAGGTGCCTCGCCTGTGGTACAACCTCCTCCCTTTGTCCCACCGGTAATCGGGGTAGTCCCATCTACACTTCCTCTGGTGTCGGTACAGGCCGCTTCCCATCTTGTTATGCCTTTGACAGGCGGGTTCTCAGCAGGTCCTAGTCTACAGATTCCTGGTCAGACAGTGTTCTCCCAACCTCCGTTGCAGCCTGCCGTAACAGGGCAGCCTGCCGTCTCGCAGCCAGCGCAGCCACAGGGCACACAGCCCCAGTAGCAGCCCCACAGCCAGGGCAGCCAGCGCAGCCACAGTGGGTTCCGAAGGCTGCCATAGCAACACCCCAGCCCTTCTAAGGTGAAAAGAAGGGTGAGGACCTCAACACATAGTTGAGGACGGTGTCAGTATACCTGAAGTGCAAGTTGACCTTGCCTCACGAGGAAGTGTTTGTGGTTGCCTCCTATCTTGAGGGAGTGCAGTGAGGTGGTTGAGCGGGTACGTGCAGTTACAGCGGTACAATCATGACTTCCGTGTTTGGGCAGACACCCAAAGACTGGATGACTTCATCAAGCTGGTGGAGGAAAGGTGGCATGACCTGCAGGAGGCCCAAAAGGCCACCGACGGGATACTGAACCTGAGCTCAAGGAAGTTTAGGACAGTAAAGGATGTCACAAACGCAGTAGAGCATCTGATTTATGTTCCTGGCGTACGCTACTTACCACTTTCCTGAGGTGCCTCCCTACGAAGATCAGGAATCAGTTGGCAAGTGAGGCCATGATCACAATCCACAACTTCCCCTCATTCAACAAAAAGGACCTAGATTTAGAAGCAAAGATCGGGCATGGACAGGAACCCACGTTCGTCGAAAACACTGCCTCCTAACTGGAAGGCCAAGGGGCACATCATGTTCGTCAACAACAATGGTACTACCATAGAGTTAGACGATGACTTCCAGTAGAGTCACAGTCAGGTATGGCAGAAGCTTTAGGGGTGGAGCAGTCGCTGCCTCAGTGCAAAAAGGTAAGGCAACCAGTAGACGCCGCGGAGGTTCCCGGTCAAAGAGTCAAGTGGACCCCAATGCTCCTCCATGGGAGAAAGCGGGTCTTAGTGAGGACGAGTGGAGAGATCGCTACGCCCGTGCAGCTGGTATTCCTTGCGGCCAATATGGCCATACGCAGTTCAAGTGTCGGAACCGTAAGGTCACAGGAAGATCCCGCCTACGATGGGGCAGGCACAGATCTCCTTTGCTTCCCAAGGTAGCAATGTTGCCAGCACTTCTGGCACTGCTTCGGGAAACACGTCGAGCCAATAGGAATTGAAGTTGTTCTTACTAGGGTCAAGATGGTGGACACACCCTCGCCGTCTCGAAAGATGGCCCAAGCTATTGACTCTTACGTCGTCCCACGATCACATTCAGACCAGTCGACACTTTGTTCGATGAATGTGTTCGAATCCTTACAGGAGTTAGAGGAGGAGTGGTCTAGATCAAACCCGCTAGCTTCTTGGACGACCATGGCTAAAGCTCCTAAGGGTGACTTGTTGGTCGGCGAGGTAGATATAGGTGGTCGAAAGGTTGGGGCCTTCTACGATACGTGTTCGACGAGGAACTTTATCAGTTGCGCTTGTGTTGAACGGTTGTGCATACAGAGGCAAGTGTAGCACCTCAGTCGACCCGTGGAGTCGACTTGTGCCAACAAACAGCGCATGGTAGTTAATGACCACCTAAAGGACGATGAGTGTTGTTTTCGTACGCGAGAGGGGAACTGATACATAAAATCTTGTTCCTGGTCAGCAATGATCTCCCTATGGATATCCTACTTGGTATGTACTACCAGTCGGCTGCACGGCCCCAGTTTGATCGGGACCGAAAAGTGGTCAAACACACTTTGCTCGAAGGGGGGACTGCCAGATTGCGTAAGTATAAAGCTAGTAGTCTGATTGAGTCCTACATATGCATGTGTGCGGCCGCGTTCTATAGTTATTATAAGCGAAATCCGGGGGAGGGTATGTACTTAGTGTATGCCTCTGCAGAGGGTGAGCCGATGAGAATGCCTCCAGAGATAGAGGTAGTGGTCGTTAATTACCCTGATCTATTTGAAGAGTCGAAAGGGGTTGTTGAGAGGGAGGTCGTCCATGCGATAGAGATTATCCCAGGGTCTAGTATTCTGAAGGGTCGGATCTATCGGATGTCTCCAGCAGAGCTTGACGAGCTTCGCCGAGAGCTCAAGTATCTCATAAAGAAGGGTTGGATCCGGCCGAGTGTCTCCCCTTATGGATCTCCTGTCTTATTTGCGCCGAAGAAGGGGGGAAGGTTGAGGACATGCATTGACTATAGGGGCCACAATGCCATCACTGCGAAGAACTCGGAGCCCCTACCGCGCATCAATGACTTGTTGGACCGAGTGCAAGGGTGTCGGTACTTCAATAAGATAGATCTGAAGTCCGGGTACCATCAGATTGCAATCAGGCCCGAGGATCAACACAAGACCGCTTTTCAGACCAGGTACGGTCTGTACGAGTTTGTGGTGATGCCTTTTGGCCTTTGCAATGCTCCTGGCACCTTTCAACACGTGATGAACAGGATCGTTCATGACTACTTTGTTGTCGTGTACCTCGATGGCATACTCATCTTTAGTATGACTGTCGAGGAGCATGCTGCCCATGTAGATGAAGTCCTCAGTCTCCTTCGGCAGCGCTAGTTCAAGATCAACCGGGAGAAATGCGAGGTTGGCCACACCCGAATTTTGTATCTGGGTCATGAGATTTCCGCAGAGGGATTGAAGCCCGATGACGCGCAGGTGGCCAGCATTCGTGGCTGGCCGCGTCCTTAGTCTGTGACTGAGGTGAGGTCCTTGGGTATGACAGGCTATCACCATAATTTCGTGAAGAACTATAGCATAGTGGTCGCGCCCTCGTCGGATCTCACACGCCTTGACACCCCATGGGAGTGGACAGACAGGTGTGAGGTTGCTTGCTGCTTTCAAGCACTTGAAGCATGCTCTCACTCACCATGAGGTCTTGAAGCTGCCCGATCCTGACAAACATTTCATTGTAACCACAGATGCCAGCCCATATGCCATTGGAGCCGTGCTTGCGTAGCTGGAGGGGAAAAAGTTGAGGCCCGTAGAGTACATGTCCAAAAAGATGCCCTCTCAGAAGTTGGCTAAGTCCACTTACGAAAAGCAACTCTACGCGATCTACAAAGCGTTGACCCACTGGAGGCCCTACCTCCTTGGGCGATTCTTCTATGTCAGTACTGATCATCAAACCCTGAGGTGGATGAGGACACAACCGATACTCTCTGATGCTTTGAAACGCTGGATTGAATTCATAGAACAGTATGACTTTGAGCCCCTGTATATCAAAGGGGAGTACAACAAGGTTGCTGATGCGCTGTCGCCTAGGCCAGACTTCCTTGATGCGCTGATTACTGAGTTCGGGCTTGCGGACGATGTTACTCGATCTTTGGTGGAAGCCTATCACGAGGATCTTTTCATGGCAAAGATCATGCATAGACTCGAGGCAAAGGAGAAGGTCACCTCTGACGAGTTTGTGTTGGTCGACGACCTGTTGTTCCTCGAGAAGGGCGGGAATAAACGTTTGTGTGTCCCCAATAGAGAGTCTTTGTGTAGTTCATTTTTAGGAGAATGTCATGATGCCACCGGACATTTTGGTTACAAGAAGACTGCAGCCAACTTGTTGCAGCAGTTCTAGTGGCCCACCATGGTGAAAGACAACAAGTTGTACATGGAGACTTGTCCGGTGTCCCAAAGGGACAAGCCACGCGCGTAGGCTCCTCTTGGGCTACTCAAACCCCTTCTGATTTTGGAGAGGCCCGGTGAAAGCATGTCCATGGACTTCATGGATATGCTGGTCACCAGCAAGAGTGGTATGAGATATGTCTTTGTCATTGTGGATAGGTTTAGTAAGTACGCTAGGTTAGTTGTGATGCCTGAGACAGCAAAGACCGAGTACGTGATTAGACTATTTAACAAAAACTGGGTCAGGGATTTTGGTCTGTCGAAGTCCATTGTTAGTGCCCGAGATGTACGTTTCACGAGTGATTTGTGGAAGGCTGCAACAGCTGAACAAGGGACCCAGCTGCAGATGACCTTTGGGAACCACCCAGAGGCAAACGGGCAAGCAGAGCACATGAACCGCGTTGTACAACACCTGTTGAGGGTGGACTGGGATGAGAAGCTTGCTCTCGTTGCCAGCTCGTACAATAAACGCAGTGCACAACACTACAGGTGTGCGTCCCAACAGTCTGCTGTTAACTTTCAAGCCTCGACTGCCTCTAGATTTCCTACTACCTGAGAACCAGTCGACTGTCGCGTCGGGTACACTGGAATTCGCTTACCGTTATGAGGGTCTTATGCAACAAGCACTGGATAACATGCACAAAGCACAGGCGGCGATGATAGAGTCAAAGAACAAACACCGTTGTCCTTCTGCGTTTCAGGTTGGGGATATAGTCTGGGTAAAGGCATCCAAACTTGGGCAGGAGCACGGGATTTCCCAAAAGCTCATGCCACAATACTTCAGACCATGGGAGGTTTTAGAC